CTGCAGTTTCATTTTGCATATTTCAGAGTAGATGAGTCAAACCCTCTTTTGTTTACATTTCCCTTCTTGATTAAAAAAAAAAAAAAAACAACAACTATGCATGGTACCCAGTAGGATACTGTAAGAACTTCATTTTAAATATCAGTAAGCATTGCTTTAATATATCAGGCTTTCTGGAAGAGAAGAAGTGTTTATCTTGGTATCCTAACCAGATTTCTCTTTCTCATTCAAAATTCCCAGTGTTATTTCTAATTTCACTTTTATATTCAGAACTTACACCTTGTGAACTGTTCAGCAGACGCTTCTTCACTTTACTGCCAAAATTTGTATCAGTAGTACTATAAAGCTGCCTATATATTCCCACCTCATGCAATCCTATTTCACTGTGTCAGTTCTCAATGGATGCTATAGATGTGTCTTCTCATTTAAATGCTGTGATACCAGAGGGTCACATAGTTTAGCCCTCTGCTATGAGAAGTAGCCCTGTTCATTGCTCTTTATTTGTCTCCTTTACTACTATTTTGCTGCTTGTTCCAGGCCTTCATATCTCTGACAGTTTTAAACCTTCCTCTAATGTCTTACCTGAATGTATTTCTTAAATTGCTGATATCTGTTTTTTAATGATACTCTTTGTCCTTTAGCTTGAGTGATTCTCCTAATCTCTGTCTGGCTACTCCCCTGATCTATTTGTGGAAAGCAATCATATCTCCCTCTTCCACCTGCACATGGTAAGAGTAACCAAACTCAGTTTTGTAATCTATTGAAAATAGTCTGTCTGGCTTCTGAACACAGTATTAACTCCTCAAGACCAAATCCGTATTTCCTGAGCAAAGGAAATGTGATCACACTTTTCTAGATAAGCTGAAGCCAAAGCCCTGTCCATTCGCATAATTTCCTCCCTATCTCTATAAGACCTACTCTACCTTATCCTGCTTTACCTTATCCAGTAATGACCTTTGCCTTTTTCTTTAACTGTATAACACTGTGGCTTACAAGAGTCTACAAACCAAGACAACCACCAGTTTTGAGAGAATGGATTTGTAGCACAAATTCCTATTCCTGATCTTTAATTCCCCTAACAGGTAATTTCAACAAATATTCCCAAATCAAGTGGAAAAATTCCCAAGCTTTTGAGGCAAACCAGTTCTTTCCAGATCATTTCCCTGTACTCAGCCATGGTGAGTACTGATGCATCTTGGGTACTGTGTTCAGTTTTGGGCCCCTCACTACAAGAGTGATAGTGAGGCCAGGTAGAGAGTCTGGAGACGGGCAACGAAGCCGTGAAGAGTCTGAAGCACAAGTGTTATGTGGAGTGCCTGAGGGAACTAGGATTTTTCATTCTGGAGGAGTCTTGAGGGAGACACTGCTCTCTGCAACTACCTGAAAGGAGGTTGTGGCAAGGTGGGAGTCAGCCTCTTCTCCCAGGTAACAGTGATAGGATTGAGAGATAGCGGCCTCAAGTTGTTCCAGAGGAAGTTCAGATTGGATATTAGGAAAAATTCCTTCTCAGAAACTATGGTAATGCATTGAAACAGACTCCCCAGGCAGCTGGTGGAGCCACTGTCCCTGGAGGTGTTCAAGAAACGTTTTAGATGTTGTACTGAGGGTATGGTTTAGTGGGCACAGTGGGGATGGGTCGATGGTTGTACTAAATGATCTTAGTGGTCTTTTCCAAACTTAATGATTCTATGATTATATTCCTGCATGACAGCCTGATCCTAATTCATATTGTGGATATTAGAATCATAGAATCATAGAATGGCCTGCGTTGAAATGAACAACAATGATCATCTGGTTTCAACCCACGGCTATGTGCAGGGTCGCCAACCACCAGACCAGGCTGCCCAGAGCCACATCCAGCCTGGCCTTGAATGCCTCCAGGAATGGGGCATCCACAGCCTCCTTGGACAACCTGTTCCAGTGCCTCACCACCCTCTGAGTGAAAAACTTCCTCCTAATATCTAACCTAAATCTCCCATCTCAGTTTAAAATCATTCCCCCTTGTCACATATTCACAGAGAAAATAAGACTTCTGGCTTGTTACTCCCTTTCCTAGAACTCCATCATTATTATCTCCCTGCTAGCCAGCTTCTTACTTACTTTACAATGTTTATTTATCTCTACCATTTTTAATTTTAGCAATGATTTTCAATAAAGTACAAATTGATAAATGCTCGCTGGACTCCAGATAGATTAAATCAACTTATTTCTGTTTATCTACAGAAAAAAATCAACTGTATTTTGAAGAGAAAATACAAGTTTAGTGTTTGGTTCTCTTCCAGCTCGCAGAATGCTTTTAAATGCAATTAGTCTTCTGATTGTGAATGTACTTCTCAAGATGTATCCCTGCGCTCACCCTCAGCATTAACAATATCTCATGCATCTGCCACTGCTCAGTCACACACCTGACTCCCTTCATATTGCAAAATTTGTCCCTTATAGCCCATGTTATGATCGAGCCCTTGCTCTTTTGCTAATCTACAATGATTCAATTCACATTCACTTAACTGCAGACACACATTAAGCTGTTGGTTGTGCTGCAACTTATATGTTGGTATGGTATACAAGAAAGGGTTGGCACTGGTGATGTTCTGTGTGAAATAACTGTCTGTGACATCAGCTGCTGCATTACTTTCAATAAAAAGACAGTAAAAGAAAATCCCCAGGAAGTCTTTTTTTCCTTTTAGTTCTGTAATCTCCTCCCTGTCTGAGAAGGGTAATAGGTGTGCGCTGCAAGAAGTCTTTTAACACAGTTTACCCCGCCCTCAAAAAGAGATTTACTGCAACTTCCATCTTATTGGGCTCCACTCTGTGTCAACTTAGAAGCAAGCTTGGACAGCATGCAGCTGTGAAGTGCAGTGCTAGGAGCCTGTTGGGCAAGGCTCAATTTTAGCGATCCAAGTGGAGTGCAAGACAGAGGCATTAACTGCACAACTTTGAATGTATGAGAATGGGTTAACAGAGGAACTGCTTTCCACTCTGTACTGTCAGCAGTAAATCCATAGAAATCCATGCAACTCTCACAATGCTCTCACAAAATGCTCTCACAGGTGTGAGGCTGCTCCCCAAAACTAAAATGCAGCATACAAAAGCCCTTCAGCAACAACTAGCAGCAAAATACATTCCTTTGGAAAAGTATATAGTGCACTGTAAACCAATGGAATGATATTCTGTTGGAATTGGACCCAAGAGCCTTGTCTTCCAAAACCGTTACAGTGAACATAAGGAATATATAAATAGTGAGAAAGCATTTTGTTCCTGTGCCGATACATCTCCAGCAACACAGTGACCCTAAGCAGACCCAGAACTTCAGTTCAGCATTGTCCAGGTAAAAGGCAAACATTCCCTAAACATAAGGTGAAAGAACAAAATGAAAACACTGTTGCACCATGTAAGAGCAATCAGGAGCCTTACACAAAACCTCTTGTTTTGATGGAGAGTGGACAGCGATGTTTTTAGTCAAATATTGTAATAACCTTTTATTATTGTTCATTATATGATGAGCCTTTATGCTGAAAAGACATCATTAAAGTTAAAATACTGAACATTGACAGTGCAGTCTAGGATGGAAGTGAGATTCAAAAATAAAGGAAAAGTAAGTCAGAAACTTTACATAAGAGCATACTTACATATGTAGATATACATGCATATATGTATACACTGTAGTAAAAAAATCATGCATCAGATCTGCAGTGGAATGTTTGTTCTTTACATTTCTCAATGAAAGAAACGTTTTTCGAAAACAAATAAAAGGATATCGTGTATCAATTAGCACATGTACTAAAATTCTACTCTGATTAACACAGAGTAGATGCTGACAACCACTTGCAATATCAGTTTTCTGGAAATCATCATGTAGAAGATGGCCATGTGAGAGGGAACAGTTCTCCTGCTCTTTTCGAGCAGCAACTTCCATGACAGACTCAATCAGAATCAGTAGGGCTAACTGTTGAATAGCTCTACTGTTTGCACAGCCATGTGACTGGAGGACTATCAGAACAGGTTGATACAATACCTACAGATGGACAGCTGTTGAGATTGTGTATCTGGGGGCTATAATTTTGGATCTAGAAACCAGAAAAAGTGTTACTACTCAGCATTATCACAGGCACCAGTAAAGCCAGACTGCAGCCAAAATAAGCTGCCTACAGACAGTAGAGTTGAACTGGTATTTTGTGCAGGCAGTGCAAATCCCCCCCTATGAAAAAGCTGCTGAAGTGTAGCAGAGCTGTCAGACCTTTACCATTTTTATTCATAATCAAGTTGCAGAAGAGCCTCCTGCTACTCACTGCAATTTTTGGGTCAGGCAGATATATTCAAAGCACATCCCTGATGGAAAGATTTTCTCTGCCGACAGCTCAAACTGTATTTGGGGGTTAGAAAAGAGGCACAGCCTTTGCATATGTCTGACATGTTAATTCCTTTGGCTGCCTGGAAGAATGTATCAGAACTCAAGGGAAAGCAGAGATCCCAACAAACCTGCTTTCCTTCGGCTTTCTCACCAGTATTTCAGATGAACTCGTTCTTTTGGGAATTTCTTATTTCTTTCTCTGTGTTTTCTTGTGCATGCACACACATATATATATGTTGTACTTCAGTAATAATTGCCATTGGAGTTTGACATCTCACAGCAGAGATTAAATAAATGGACATTAAATCTCACAAAAACTTGAGTGGTCAAAAAAACACCCAAAGAAAAAGAAACATCTCAAAGGCTTATTGATTTCCTCTATCCTCTACTCTAAGTTCCACTAGATTTTTAATTTGAAAGAATTAAAGAAAAAAGCTCATGATTATTTTTCTGTTCATGGTCAACAGATGGTCAACTCTTCATTGTCAACTCTTTTCCTGCCTAACAGTCCTACTTCTTCATCACTGAAAATGTTCTGGATTAAGAAAACGCCAGTCAAAAGGGATAACATATAAGAATATCACACATGAAACATACAATTACACTATTTCAGCTCTCAGCTGTGCAGTAGAAAAGTATGTCTCTTTACCTGGAATCTCATCTGTCTCCCCATTAGTGTGCTTGAATCGATCTCCTTCCACTTGAACATTTGGACACAGAACATCTGAAAAACAAGAGAACCAGTACAAAATTATCACAGGTTAATGAAATATTTTATAAGTTACAGAACTAACAAAATCTGATTTACTGGGTTTTGTCCAACACTTCCACATGGTCCCACAACAACAATTCTGTTTCCTGTCTCTACATGCCCTAATTTCCTTTCCCTTATTCTACCCAATAACCGCAAGCTGAGGAAGAGATCCAACATGCTACATCTGGTTTTAAGCCACCTTTTTATTGACTGGCCAGACAAGAAGCCAAACATAACAAATGACCAGAGTCTTCCTCTAAGCTAGGACACTGGGTTTCTCTCTTTCAATGCTCCATAAATCTCAGTGGAGGTCACTGCAAAAGTTTAAAATACAGTTCCACTGTCAGATTTGGTGAAAGTTAATTTCTCAGTGCCCAGCTCTCACTGCAGTGCTGTTCAAACGTATCAGATAGGACAGATCCTAGTTGAAAAACTCCCAACCCTAATGAGACAAAACAGAGGCAAGATGGGAAATGCAATCAGGAGCACAGATTCTGTGGCTTCAGTCACACAATGGTCCCATAGCTAACGAGAATCAGAGAGAAAGTGAAGCCTAGCCTCTTATATCTTACTGAACTGTGCTTGGTTGCCCTGTCCTCTTCTAGGGCCATGACTGTTTACGTGTGTGTGTTCCTTGAGTTTGTTCAAGCATTAAGTATGAGCAAAACTTTGAAGAATATTTAGCTCAACAAAAGGGTTTCACAGAAGATTGTGAAAATAAGAAGTCATTCCTCATGCTTCCAATCAGCGTCAACCCATATGCTTTTCTAAAGAGATCTGTCTACCTATTCACCACTTTCCTGCCATACCACTGAAGTAGCATTTATTTATGCTTTGCTTTACCAGATCAACAGATAATTGCATGCTTGTAATCAGTGAGGTCAGTTAGCTTAAGGAATCAGTTTAATGAGATAATAGAAGCGAACCCCTAACTTAGGGGCTCTCTGAAGACTTTCTACAGCAGGACCACTTCAATCTGTGATTGAAGCTACATCTGAAATTGTGCTGTAAGAATGACTTTTCTGAGGATTCTGCCAGCAGGCCGTAGTTCTCCTTCCACCTCCTGACTCTCAACAAAAATATATATATATATATATATATATATATATATGATATTCTACCATTCCAATGTTTGGTTAGGCCTAGCAATGAAATAAGATATTTTTCCTGTTCCATTGCACTGATGAATTTACAGACCAGATTATCAGCTGCAGCTGAGGTACTCAAAGCGCAAAGGAAAGGTCACTGTAAAAGCCATTGCCAAAAGCCCCAAAAGCCAGTGCAGAAATCAGAAGCAGTTGAATACAACCACCTACCCCTCTGCTGCAGCAGAAAGTGAGGCCACAGAGCAGTTAGTCCTGCTAGTAAATGTTAATCAGGGCATTCAGAACTGGGGCAATTTTGTATCCACACAGCAGGACCAAAGTGCCTTCACCCAAATAAAGGTCTCATGCTGAATAGTTCACTTAGACAAGGAGTTGTCAATACGTTTAGAATACCTCAGCTAAATTCCTATCGGAGTTCTGAGATAATCACAAGCATGCTTACATATCTTTGCCAATCACGCAATCAGATTTTTATTGGTCTATCTTCAGGGCTGCTGCTTCTACAGATATAATGCAGAGGAGTTACCTTTTTCACCACACAGAATCATAGAATGGTTTGTGTTGGAAAGGACCTTAAAGATCCTGCCCACTGTTGGCAGGGATGTCAACCATTCAATTAGGTAGTCCAGGACCCTAACTAACCCGGCCTTGAACATCTGCAGAGATGAAACTTCCACAAGTTCTCTAGGCAGCCTGTTCCAGTTCCTCACCACCATCATAGTGAAGAATGTATTCCTTACATGTAATCTAAACCTATCTTTTTCTTCTCATTTAAAACTGTTACATCTTATCCTATCCAGAGTATACAGTCTGGTGAAGAGTGTCTCCTCATCTTTCTTGTAGGCCTCTTTTATGTATTGGAAAGCCACAGTAAGGTGTATCCAGAGCCTTCTCCAGGCTGAACTGAACAAGCCCAGTAGCCTCAGCCTTTCTCCATAGGAGAAAAGCTCCAGCCCTCTGATCATATTCACACTGTCTGGACCTGTTATAACAAATCTATGTCCTTCTAGGACTGGAGGCCCAACAGGTAGATGCAGTATCACATTAGGAATTACAGAATTATAGAATCATTAAGCTTGGAAAAGACACTAAGATCATCTAGTCCAGCCATCAACCTATCCCCACTGTGCCTACTCAGTCATGTCCCTCAGTGCCATATCTCCCCTCTCTTTGAACACCTCCAGTGATGGTGACTCTACCACTTCCCTGGGCAGCCTCTTCCAATACCTCACCACTCTTTCTGAAAATTTTTCCCAATATCCAACCTGAACCTCCCCTGGTACAACTTAAAGCCATTACCTCTTCTCCTACCAAACCAATATGGGTTGATGCACAGAATCATTTCATGTACATTCTAACTATTAGTCTCTAGTGCTCCCAGTGCCTGGTGGTTTGAAAACCAAAATATTTCATTCAAGCTTATTTACATCTTCACATTATCAGGTGAAACCATCTGGTTCTTCCTCCTTCTAAGAGGTCTGTACAACTTCTCAACATAACAGGGGAGCTCTACTCTGATAGGAACACTTTAAAAATTGAAGACTTGCAAGAGCCAAAGTTAAACTTTTTCCCTTTCATAACCAAGATGTACTGATAAAAGATTTGCTTAGAAGTATCAGAAGTCCTACACTGTATTGATGTTTTGGATTTATTTATTTATTATTATTTTTCTAAGAAATGCACTTTTGGCTATAAGTACTGAGTCAATTATTATAAGCAGCACTTTTGAGACTCAGTCTGAAAATGAAATGGAAAGAGGTACATCTATCCAGTAAAATAAGCAGAGAAAGAAATCAATCTGAGCAAAATTCTCCTAAACAAAGAATAAATAGAATCACAGAATCATAGAATCACCAAGGTTGGAAAAGACCTAAAAGATCACCCAGTCCAACCGTTCACCTATTCCCAATAGCTCCTACTTAACCATGTCCCTCAACACAACATCCAGCCTTTCCTTGAACACCCCCAGGGTCGGTGACTCCACCACCTCCCTGGGCAAAATAAATAGAAAGCATGAGTAAAGTCACTAAAATGTCTTTCATGCACACTGTCAAGGACTCCTGAGAGATATAAAGAGAAGAATAAAACAAGCTCAAACACAGATGGGTACCTCTTAATGAAAGCAGGAACTAATGTTGATCAGTTGTAGTCATATAAATTATCATTCCAATCTTAATGACATTACAAGTCCCTCAACAGGTCTATGGCTTCCTAGCAGAGAAATAAGTTTGCACTAGCAAAATCTTCCTGGCTTTAGCTGATATGTTTGAACCAGGATTATAAAGCAAACCCATATGCCTGGCCTTGATACAGAACTGTCTTGAACAAAAAAGGAAATACCCATGACAATAAAATAATCTCTTCTCGTAACTTTGTCCTTAATATCTCTTATTACCTCTTAAAGAACTGTAGCCTCACTTTGGCCTTCATTTACAAGTGTCTCGTGCTCCTTTCCTGTCTGTTCCTAATGTATAAGAAGAAACAGCCCGCAAGGGAAAGAAAATGACTGTAATGCTTGCTTTAATTCACACAAGCATATGGAAGATCAGTGCTTTATTATCTAACATAGCAGACCCTTGCATCCAAAGTAAGAGTGTGCCAGACTGAAAGTACATCAATTGGTCACAAATAACACCATGTCCTGGCACTATATCCAAGGATGCAAAGAGAGAAAAGGGAGGACAAAAGCCATTCCCTTGAAGTCTTTCAACGAGATCCCCGATAAAGGTTTTAACACCAAGTGTGCTTATACCCATTCTTTCTGCTATTGCCAGGCCAAACTTTGAGCTAACCCTCGTGGTGCTTTGAGAATTCCTCAGAAGGTTTGCAGTAATTAGATCCAGCACCAATGGCAGAAAGAATAATGAAGTATGCACTGCAACTACGTTGTTACTTATGTATTTTGTTCAAAATTACTTCCATATCCTCTATCTTATGCATTATTCCACCAATCCTTTGTTCTATCTGCAAATCCTATCATCAAATATTTTACACTTATGACCATGCAGCTCATGGAAATTTGGGAGAATGTCAAGATATTGATATATTCCAGATATATTTACAGTTTATCTAGAAATGATTACTTTCTGCTGATACCTGCTACATGAAATCAGTCAGTTCTTAATCCACCATCACTTTTTAAAGCAAGTGTCATTCAGTAGTAACAATACCTGTAACAATACCTAGAAAGAAATGCATTGTAGTTACTATATGAACCAAACTGTAACTTCTCACATAAAGGAATAAATTGTGCTAGAGATGACCTCTTTCCCATAAAACAATAATCCCTGTTTAGGTACATAAAATTTCCCATTCTTTAACATTTTCTTCACTGGCTTCTGTATCAGTGCTTCTGGTTGCTTTTTTTTAAATTTGTTTATTTGTGCTTTTTTTTTTTTTCATAATAAGGAGATCAAGCAAACCATTTGTGCATATGCATATACTTAAATATAACTTCATTTTTAGTAGAAATTCATTATCATCATTTCAAAGGCCTATACTTAGTGCTACACTTGGCAGCTAAATGTTTTCCTAGGTATCTTTCTTCTCTCACAATATTGCTATGCTCTAGTAGCTCACACCTGCCAGTGAGGACTCTATGTTTTGTTGGGATAACTGTAGATTGGGGGTCGGCCTCTTCTCTCGTGTCATTAGTGATAGGACCAGGGGGAATGGCTTCAAGCTACGGCAGGGGAGATTCAGGCTGGACGTGAGGAAGTATTACTTTTCAGAAAGGGTGGTCAGGCACTGGAACGGACTGCCCAGGGAGGTGGTGGAGTCACCGACCCTGGGGGTGTTCAAGGAAAGACTGGATGTTGTGTTGAGGGACATGGTTTAGTAGGAGCTATTGGGAATAGGTGAACG